GTGGTGCGGTTTTTCGTAACCAAATTATGATTTATTACTCTGACTATGTGTAGCATGGCCTTGCACAATCAAAGTACTCTTTACTACAGGACAATCCTTTTTCGGTTTCCAGTGCGACCAATTCACGAATTGCTTCCAACCACCTTTTGCTGCGGGTCAGGAGGCACAGCTTGAACAGGTGCTTGTAAAGAATGTCCAAAAGGTTGGAGAAAATCTCCTACACAAACAACCGAATAAATAGGGCAAGTTGCCATTTTATCGTATAGACGCTACTATCGTAAATCAAGTTATCGTGAGTCGCCATGCCCCTTGATGGGCGTGCACAAGCCTAAGCTGTATCGCCGTTTGGTGGCTAAGGCGTGGCGCCAGGCAACTGAGCGATTACGGCAAAAGATAATTTTCAGTCGCTTTTGTTTTGTGGCAATGTCGTGGTGACGTCTTACATCCACTTTGGCCATTCCTCTCTCTTTCTCTCGCGAGCAACGTGCATACACACACTCCTTCCAAGTTAGGGTAACTTTCGACTCTTATTCGTCTCCGAGACGACTCTGTCGGCGGCCCCGTTTGTCCACGAGGCCTGTGAGTTTCTCTGATTTCCTCAAGCCCTACTTGATGGGCCGCTGTCGCCAGGCTCATGTGGCCAGTCCTCTTCTCGTCCCGTGCCCTGAGGTTTAGCCTCCGTCGGAACGACTCTTGAAGTGGCACCATGACGACCATAGCTTTCATACCATCCTTTTTTCCTCTCCGTCAACGACGACTCATTTTTATCCTTCCCTGTAAGTTCTCAACAATTAGTTGGCTCCGACACTGACATGGTAAATGACAAATGGTAGTTACAATTGGCAAATGCGAAATGGCGAGCGGAAAATTGTGATTACAAGTGATAAATGACAAATAGCATAACAGGTAACTTTTGCAATCGATCTTCTTTTTTACCCGACTACCTCTTAATGGTCTCTCTGCCTCAGTCGCTGTATCGCTATTGATATTCGTCCTTGTTTGTACTGTTTGTGCTCCTCTATCGTGGATTTATTTTGTTTTCAGGCTGGCGCGAAAACAATTCCAGTTGACAGTTGATGATTCTATCTCTGTTGCTCTCCCTCTTTCTCGATCTCTCCACGGCCTCTTACTTTGTGACCGGTTGCACATGTGCCTACATGTGCCTATTTGTGTTTGCGTTTGTGCGTGTGTGCGTATGAGCAGGCGCATGCGACTGTATGCCCATTGTTTGCGTCGTCAACCGCTTGTCTTCTAGTCGTTTCTCGTCTATTTTTGGTTGTTTATGTCAGGCCGTTTTGTCAACCTTCAATGCTAGCCTGTATTCCTTCAGTGCACGATCTATTATGTCAGAGTTGTTTATTTTCACAATTCTCTGTTTGTTTTCGTTGCTTTGTATACCACTAGGTTGTGTTCAGCCAGCCAGTGTTCCTGTACCCTGCTCCCTGCTCTTATCTCTACACTTAACTTTACCCATCCAACCATTAACTCATCCACCCATCCCTCCGTCTATCCACCTCGTCGTGGGCTTCTTGCCATGTCAGCGATTGTTAATGGCCGTAATGGCACCCTTGGCGGCTAGACTACCAGACGTTAGGCTCCGCTGGCACCATGCGAGTAGTGAGGGTGCAGACGGAAAGAGTAGTAGTGCTGTGTGCTAGTTGGCGAGGTAGGCAGCCCAGGCACTGGGACGAGAGCTAGGGCCAAAATGTTGGCGTCTCGGTTTATCAGGCGCCAGGCGACCGGGTCTTCAGCACCTTTGGGGGCTTCGAGACTTCACAGCATTTGTCTGTGACGCCTCACCTCCTTCGGCCAGGCGACTGCCCCTTTCGGTCTCCTACCCCGTCTCGACTGTCGGCCTCGGCGGACCGCTGATGCGAGGCGCTGTCTATTTTCAACGTCCAATGCTCTGGCCGTCGGCCACGGCAACAGCAGCAGCTGCCGACGTTGAATCCACCGACTTGTGACCAGAATATGATATAAGATGCATTCACAGAATTTCGTTTAGGCTGATGAAGAACTGGTAGAAGGAGAATTCTCCCACAAATGATATGAGTTGGACTGACGTTTCCATGGCATATTTACATGGCTTTGCATTCGCAAAAGTTGTTCTCATCCCGGCTGAAGTGGACTGCAGTTTCGACCTCACATTGGTATCATCATCAGCCTCAGCGGGACTCGAACCGCGACAGTGCAGGACGGTAGCTTGACAAATGTGAATTTTTAAAGGGAGGCCAGGCCTTTTTGCCATATCGTGTGTTTTTTGTGGAATTGTCGATGAAGCAAACGTATGTTTTACTATGACAATCTACTGGTAGTCACGAAAAACAATACTTAATCAGAATATGATAACTGGGGGGAGTCGGGACAGCAGGGTTTTTGTCGGCTGTGAAGCCAAGCTAAGCGTCGAAGAGCGACGATTGTGGAGAAGAAGCTTCACTTCGCTTGCCTCCCTCCAAACTCAAACCATTTCAGACTGACCTGAACAGCAATAGACAAACAAGCCAGCTGCGACTCCCCAAGCCTGCCCCTGTTTGTCCTCGTTTCGATTCGTTTTTGCGCACGATGGAACACCGTGAAATAGAATCATAAAAACGTCGAAGAGACAAATATGTAATTGCGACCTTTCACTAGACGAAGTTGCGGAACATTGTTAATACGAGACAGATTTCGGATGTCTGTGAACCAGATTAAGACGATTGCAACCCATACAAGATGAAGAAGCACCTGCATTATAGACTATATAAATATAAATATATATATATATATGCGAAATCTCATTCTTTTGCGTTTTTGGTTGCCTATCTCCTGTCTCTATCGTTCTATCTCTATCCCGCTCTTGCTCTCGCTCTCGCTCTCCCTCGATGTGTGTATCTTCTTATCTCATTGTTTGCTTTTCTACACGAATTAGCGCAGTCAAATACATGCAATCTTTTTTGACAGAATGGTGTGTAATAAGCAGGATTTCGACAAATCCAACCGTCAAATTTGTAGTTGTGGCTGGCATTGTTATTGTCACCCCTAATTACCTTTCTTCAGAGCATAACAATCTGGGAGCTAATAGATCTCCAGTTTCTACAATCGTGGCAAAGGCACCATACCAAAGGTACAGACGGTGATGCTCTTGTCCAACTGGCGACTAAAGGCGCCACTTTGAGTTGCTTGCCTAGGCCTCCCATGGCTCCTTTTAAAAAAGTCCCTATTCCAGATTGCCCAATCAGGCCTTGAGTGCATTCCCACAAGTTTAGTTGTAGACACGAGCAAGTC